TGATGTTTAGTTGAATACAAGTAAGGCATGTATGAGTGAGGTGTGTGTGTTTAATTCCTGAGTACGTAAGCTGGGTCATTCTGAACGTCAGCTGAAGGCATGGAGAGTAAATATGCCTTGTTATGTTTAATGGTTAGTAGTGAATTGCATTTTGTTAGCTAATTAATTTTTAAGTCACAATATTGGAGGCCTAGTGCGGTTAGATGACCATGGTTGTAATGACTATATAACGACAGTGTCTGGGAATTTATTGCAGTTTAACTTTTGATATTTCACAGGAACAAGTGGAAATAATATTGAAATGCATTCCAGTGCAAAGCAGTATTATGTATACAGTGAGGGAAAAAAGTATTTGATCCCCTGCTGATTTTGTATGTTTGCCCACTGACAAAGGAATGATCGGTCTATAACTTTAATGGTAGGTTTATTTGAACAGTGAGAGACAGAATAACAACAAAAAAATCCAGAAAAACGCATGTCAAAAATGTTATAAATTGATTTGCATTTTAATGAGGGAAATAAGTATTTGACCCCCTCTCAATCGGAAAAATTTCTGGCTCCCAAGTGTCTTTTATACAGGTAACGAGCTGAGATTAGGAGCACACTCTTAAAGGGAGTGCTCCTAATCTCAGCTTGCTATCTGTATAAAAGACACCTGTCCACAGAAGCAATCAATCAGATTCTACACTCTCCACCATGGCCAAGACCAAAGAGCTCACCAAGGATGTCAGGGACAAGATTGTAGACCTATACAAGGCTGGAATGGGCTACACGACCATTGCCAAGCAGCTTGGTGAGAAGGTGACAACAGTTGGTGCGATTATTCGCAAATGGAAGAAACACAAAAGAACTGTCAATCTCCCTCGGCCTGGGGCTCCATGCAAGATCTCACCTCGTGGAGTTGCAATGATCATGAGAACGGTGAGGAATCAGCCCAGAACTACACGGGAGGATCTTGTCAATGATCTCAAGGCAGCTGGGACCATAGTCACCAAGAAAACAATTGGTAACACACTACACCGTGAAGGACTGAAATCCTGCAGCGCCTGCAAGGTCCCCCTGCTCAAGAAAGCACATATACATGCCCGTCTGAAGTTTGCCAATGAACATTTGAATGATTCAGAGGACAACTGGGTGAATGTCTTGTGGTCAGATGAGACCAAAATGGAGCTCTTTGGCATCAACTCAACTCGCCGTGTTTGGAGGAGGAGAAATGCTGCCTATGACACCAAGAACACCATCCTCACCGTCAAACATGGAGGTGGAAACATTATGCTTTGGGGGTGTTTTTCTGCTAAGGGGACAGGACAACTTCACCGCATCAAAGGGATGATGGACGGGGCCATGTACCGTCAAATCTTGGGTGAGAACCTCCTTCCCTCAGCCAGGGCATTGAAAATGGGTCGTGGATGGGTATTCCAGCATGACAATGAGCCAAAACACACGGCCAAGGCAACAAAGGAGTGGCTCAAGAAGAAGCACATTAAGGTCCTGGAGTGACCTAGCCAGTCTCCAGACCTTAGTCCCATAGAAAATCAGTGGAGGGAGCTGAAGGTTCGAGTTGACAAACGTCAGCCTCGAAACCTTAATGACTTGGAGAAGATCTGCAAAGAGGAGTGGGACAAAATCCCTCCTGAGATGTTGTGGTGGCCAACTACAAGAAACGTCTGACCTCTGTGATTGCCAACAAGGGTTTTGCCACCAAGTACTAAGTCATGTTTTGCAGAGGGGTCAAATACTTATTTCCCTCATTAAAATGCTAATCAATTTATAACATTTTTGACATGCATTTTTCTGGGTTTTTTTGTTATTTTGTCTCTCACTGTTCAAATAAACATACCATTAAAATTATAGACTGATCATTTTTTTGTCAGTGGCCAAACGTACAAAATCAGCAGGGGATCAAATACTTTTTTCCCTCACTGTATATGTTGAATTTCTTTCCCACCGTATATAGCCAACCGTGCAAATCAACGGTGCGGGGAAAGGACAACAAACTAAACACAAAAGCAGTTATATTAAGTATGGAATCAGATAATATGCCTCCACATATCTGTCCCGTCACATAACAAATCGATTTTTTTACACATCCCGTCATCCACACGGCATGCAGGGAGTGTACAATATCAACAGTGCTCGTTAAACAAGCCAACCACGAGACTGGCTTTGACAGTGTCACCAACAGTCACGCTTGCTTGAACCGACATCGGCCTGTGAACCGCTCGATGTTTATAGGTGATGACCCTCTGGTAAATTATGGGTCTTAGTTCGATGCAAAAACAAATAATACACAACATAAAATGTATTTTCAGATATCTCAAGGAGTCGTATTGTCTTCGGATTTAATTTTATTTTACTTATATTCCCCATGACGGCGCGAATGATTACTTTGAGTTATTATTATAAAGTATGCGAGCGTGCGTTCACTGTGGGGAACGTTTGCATGGAAGTGCACAATGGTGCTTTTGGTTTCCGTAGATGCTGTTTGCCGTTCCCACGTGGCGTTTCCATGTTGTCTGTTTGCAAATCTAAATAAACAGTGACAAATGCCCGACTTAGGATGTTTGTGGTACTAATAATGTGTTTTGTGGGAGGACATTTTCTAGCTGGCTGGAGAGTTAATAATCCATAAACGCCAATTCATTCCCCACTCTTCACGAAGCCATTTAGTGTTGCGCAGCAAAGAATGGGCTATGGTGACTTCATCACCAAGAGGTTTAACCATAATTTATTTTTGTACATTAACTTGGTGTCTTTTATGATAGATTTGTTTATGTTATTAGTGGAACTATGAGTGTGAATTCTTTTGTTGGTTTTGGCTGAAATTTACAAATATGTGTATTTTTTATCCGTACAATTTACAGCACATGTAACACATGATGTAAATTGGATGGACATATAGTGAAGGAAAATTGGGCAATGAGTAGTTAATTATAAAGGACAAATTATATCCCAAGTGAGGACTGTACAGTGCTATGTGTTTGTTTTCCGATATTAAATACATTGCATAAACGTAATATTTGTTTCCCTAATGCCAATAAAATGAAGGCTTTTGGCCCGGTGTGCTAATTAGATATTTAAAAGAAATATCATTTTAGTTTTGGTGAAAGTTGTAAATGCATTGCTCCAATGGTGCTGTGATAGCAGAGATGGAGGCGTAATTTTCATCTTGTCAAACTCCTGTTGTGAGTGAATTGTTTTAGGCTGTCACGGGGCTTGTAAAGTTTACGCTCCCCCTCCGTCGCCCGTGAATGATGAGTATAATTAACGGGAGTGGAGGTACTTTTTCACGCCATCATCAGAATCCGCTCCCGGAAGGCTGCCGTATGTCGTGACAAATGAGTGCTGATCTGGGCTGGGATGAGTTGGGGGGATGCTGCGTGGCCCTCCATAGCTGTCCCTGGTTATCAGAGGCTATCCATAGCTATCTATGGATATCCCTGACTATATCTCACTATCCTTAGCTATCTTGGGCTATATCTGACTATCTCAAAGCAATTTACTATCCCCAGCTCTCCCTGGCTATCTGCGGCTATCCCTGGCTATATCTGCATATCCCAAGCTATCCCTGACTATATTTTGTATGTATGTTGAACTTCTTTAGTCAACCGTGCTACTCGGATGTGTGGGGGAAGGACGACAAACGAAACACTATCTGGCTCTCCTCAGCTTTCCCCGGTTATTCCTGGTTATCTGACTATCCATGGTTATTCCTAGATATCCCCAGCTATCCTTGGCTAGCTCTGGCTATCCCTTGTTATCTTTTGCTATCTCCAGCTATGCTGGATATCATCAATTCTCCATTTCCGTCTGGTACTTCGAGGGTTGGTGGATCACACCACTTCGTCAAACTCCCTCCCTACCCATGGGTCTGACGGTTGTCATCTTCAGGCTTCGGAGGATATGACAGTTCTGGAAGTCTATGAACTTTCATCACGATGGGGATTGAGTGTTATCCCCCCCCCCCCAGCAGGCGTGTGTTTTTTCTGGTTACTGTGGTTTCCTCGCACGTGTATAAACACATTAATGAATGGAGATCACCAAACATCCCATGATAGGAAACAGAGCTTGAGCAATTGTTGGCTCTGGTTCTGGCTGCCTTCCCTGATTCTCTGCGGTGCAAACCTCCATGCGCGTTACAAATCCTGCATCGTTTAGCGGTTCAATTTGCATGACTGACACCGTATAAAGGACAGTTATTATGATTATCTCTCTTCAAACATCTCAGGTTGGTCATGACTTTTTGTGTCTCTCCCTTGCTTACTAGAGTGTCTTCTGTGTCCCTCACTCCCTGTTATTACTCAGCACTTCCTGGCTAGCTCTCTGTGAGTTTGCATTCTAAAGTTTGAGAATGTTGCAATTGTAATGTATTCTTTCTTTGTATATTGTTTTAACTATTCCTGTAATTTGTTTTACTATATTCTGTTTTTTGTTCGTATTTATATGTGATAGTTCAATGTATCTGCCTATGTGACTTCCTCTGTAATTTTCCGCCAATGCTGACCCCAGCTTGGGCTGGACACCTATGAAAAATAACTTGGCAACTCATTTATTCTTCCAGCTTAAATCAAATGTCTATGATCCTCCACACATTTCTTACTATGGTGTCAATTATATTATTTTTAGTCCCATAACCAAATCTCATTACTTACACAAGAGAAACTCTACTTGACATGCATAGTTATATCGAGAAAAATCCATCTAAGATATGAGTGATTTTTTTTTCTCATAATTCACACTACTCCGTGATTTGTATTAAATTGAAGGTAACGCAAGTGTGTAAGTGTACCTTGTGTTATTGGTGCATTATCTCGTTTAGCCTCTTTATCATTCCCCATTCTCCCTCTTGTATTGCTCACGTGATCATTGCTCATCCGTCGTCGTTTCATCCTCTCTGTCTTTGACGACGACGGTTTGCATTTCATTACGTGACTCATTTATTTTTTAATGTGCCATTGATTGCAATCCCAGTGTCGCGTGTGCCTCCTCCTTCCCTGCAGGAGGTGTTGGCCCGAGGTGGAGCCGGTTGTGCAGAGAAACGCGTGATAAACGCTGGGGACGACGGGGAGGCCGGGGCAGCGAGTGGGGGAGTGGTGCGTGTGCACGCTGTGCTGGGAAATGAGGCTTGCGACTTGGACTCGACCGTGTGTGCGCTTGCCTACGCACACTTTCTTGCCAAGGTTCGCCATGCTGACACCGTAATGCGAAACTCTCCCTTAACCCCGTAATCTACGTGCGTTCCGTACAGTGCTAGCCACGTTGCCACCGTATGAATGTATTTACATGTATTGTAGTGGACAGGCTGCTGTAAACACTAAGGTATATACAACGCTGATGCCATTGTCTTGTTCAAGATTTCGCAGTGCAACAAATCCAACTAGGCCCTGCACATTAACTGATCTCATCACTCCATTTTCTCAGCTGACTTCCTCTGGTTCCATTCTTTGTCGGCCACCCCGTCATTGTTAACTATCGTCGATCATATCCCTTCGAGCCATGATATGTCCTGCACAAGCCCACTCACTTTTCTGAACAGTTTGGATGATGTTACGAAGCTGCACATGCTGCTGCACTAATTCATGTGCTTATTATAATCTTTGTTATATTTAAAAGCACTCACTCTGCCTTTATTCTCCTCTTTATTTCATAACGTTAATCGTCGTTTTCCTTTAATAATTGCCCTCTTTCTACAAGCATGATACTGTGTGGTTTGCATGATGCTTAGTGGTGTGATATGCATGATGCTGCATGGTGTGGTGTATATGATGCTGTGTGGTGTGCTTTTCATAATTCTGCGTGGTATGATATGTACAGTGAGGGATAAAAGTATTTGACCCCCTGCTGATTTTGTACGTTTGCCCACTGACAAAGAAATGATCAGTCTATAATTTTAATGGTAGCTTTATTTGAACAGTGAGAGACAGAATAACAACAACAAAATCCAGAAAAACGCATGTCAAAAATGTTATAAATTGATTTACAATTTAATGAGGGAAATAAGTATTTAACCCCCTCTCAATCAGAAAGATTTCTGGCTCCCAGGTGTCTTTTATACAGGCAACGAGCTGAGATTAGGAGCACACTCTTAAAGGGAGTGCTCCTAATCTCAGCTTGTTACCTTTATAAAAGACACCTGTCCACAGAAGCAATCAATCAATCAAATTCCAAACTCTCCACCAATGGCCAAGACCAAAGAGCTCTACAAGGATGTCAGGGACAAGATTGTAGACCTACACAAGGCTGGAATGGGCTACAAGACCATTGCCAAGCAGCTTGGTGAGAAGGTGACAACAGTTGGTGCGATTATTCGCAAATGGAAGAAACACAAAAGAACTGTCAATCTCCCTCGGCCTGGGGCTTCATGCAAGATCTCACCTCGTGGAGTTGCAATGATCATGAGAACGGTGAGGAATCAGCCCAGACCTACACGGGAGGATCTTGTCAATGATCTCAAAGCAGCTGGGACCATAGTCACCAAGAAAACAATTGGTAACACACTACGCCGTGAAGGACTGAAATCCTGCAGCGCCCGCAAGGTCCCCCTGCTCAAGAAAGCACATATACATGCCCGTCTGAAGTTTGCCAATGAACATCTGAATGATTCAGAGGACAACTGGGTGAAAGTGTTGTGGTCAGATGAGACCAAAATGGAGCTCTTTGGCATCAACTCAACTCGCCGTGTTTGGAGGAGGAGGAATGCTGCTTATGACACCAAGAACACCATCCTCACCGTCAAACATGGAGGTGGAAACATTATGCTTTGGGGGTGTTTTTCTGTTAAGGGGACAGGACAACTTCACCGCATCAAAGGGACGATGGACGGGGTCATGAACCGTCAAATCTTGGGTGAGAACCTCCTTCCCTCAGCCAGGGCATTGAAAATGGGTCGTGGATGGGTATTCCAGCATGACAATGACCCAAAACACACGGCCAAGGCAACAAAGGAGTGGCTCAAGAAGAAGCACATTAAGGTCCTGGAGTGGCCTACCCAGTCTCCAGACCTTAATCCCATAGAAAATCTGTGGAGGGAGCTGGAGGTTCGAGTTGCCAAAAGTCAGCCTCGAAATCTTAATGACTTGGAGAAGATCTGCAAAGAGGAGTGGGACAAAATCCCTCCTGAGATGTGTGCAAACCTGGTGGCCAACTACAAGAAACGTCTGACCTCTGTAATTGCCAACAAGGGTTTTGCCACCAAGTACTAAGTCATGTTTTGCAGAGGGGTCAAATACTTATTTCCCTCATTTAAATGCAAATCAATTCATAAAATTTTTGACATGCGTTTTTCTGGATGTTTTTGTTGTTATTCTGTCTCTCACTGTTCAAATAAACTTACCATTAAAATTATAGACTGATCATTTTTTTGTCAGTGGACAAACGTACAAAATCAGCAGGGGATCAAATACTTTTTTCCCTCACTGTATGGTGTGGTGTGCAAGATGTTTCTGCTGCATCGTGTAGTGTACATGGTTCTACATGGTGTAGTGTGCATGATGCTGCATGGGGTGGTGTGCATGATGCTGCATGGGGTGGTGTTCATGATGCTGCATGGGGTGGTGTGCATGATACTGTGGTGTAGATTTCACTGGGCTGGCAACATCCCGATCACGTCCATTATAATTAGTCGAATGTGATGTTTTACGAGGGAAAACTTTTCTGGGAAATTAGACTGATTGAAGGAGACAAAGTGGTTTTTGTAGCAAAAAAATTAAAAAGCCCCACGAGTGTTTTCAAGCCCCATTAGCTGCAGTGATCGCAGTGCCTGATCAGAGATGGGAGGAGATGAAGCTAAATTGCTTCTAGATAGAGTTAGTAATAGTGTAAGCCACTTAATCAGGCTGAGATGGAACTGTTTATTGAGACACTACATTAGTTATTTCTTCAGAAGGTGTATAGCTTTCTCCGGAATGCTGTCAATCATCGCGTGTGGCTGCTATAGGGCCTGGTTAAGCTATTTGCGAAATTGTTTATGCTTCCAAATGGCCTTACATGTTTGCAGGGTTGTGTGTATATTGTTCGCATAATTTTATTGATGGTGTGTGCACTCGTGCTTGTTGTGATTGTTTATGGGACAGACACTTTGTTTTATGTCGGCATGTGCATGCATGTTTGTCCGTGTGTATTGGATATACGTGCTGTATATTTATGGCATACATGTATGTAAATTGCGTGTATACTTGAGGTACACTCACATGTATGTTTCTATGTATAATGTGTGTGAGTTTGAGTGCGTTTCGGGGGCAGTAGCACAGCGGTTAGTGCACTGTTACGAACCTGGCAAACAGAGTTCAATTCCCACTCATGCCCAACATCGGTGAGGAATATCTGAACTGGTCCTGGGCCTCCCCTAGGTAGACTTGGCCTGAAATGACTCCTTGGTGCAGTGTGTTAACATCACCACGCAGAAGACAAAGGTGTTCAGGCATGGTATTAGCCACACCACCCACTTCATGCACCGTGTTAGCATTTATTGCTGCTCTCATATGGCTCCAACATTCTGTTATGGTCATATGGGAGATCTTCGTCTTGCTAGGAGTGTGTGTGTATATTTTGGGTGTGTTTGCGTGTACCGCATAGAGCCGGAGCTGGGCTGTATGTGTGCGTGTACAGTAGTAAGGCTGGTAATGAGGCCTGACTACTGCTGCAGGCTCTAATTAGATAACGAGGCAGGGTGCCTACAAAGAAAATTAAAAAGTTATGCTGTGGTCCAAAACATTTAAATCTTATTTCAAGAAAAACATAAATTATATCTGCCAACACTCATTTGGTTTGGCTGTCAGCTGCTGCTAAGCCATTAACATTCTATAGTGTTGAGAAGTTTGTGACATAAAGTTTCAACAGTGTGCATTACTCTTGAGGGCATTCAGATCAGGGTTTGGTGAATGAAGAACACTGGTTTCCAATGCACATCGATATTCATCACATTGGTATATCAGACATATCTGGCTACCAGAATGACTTTCATTTAATGCACAGTGTCTTCAACCAACCACAATATTGCAAGTCAAAACAACACACTCACCCACTCACTCGTCCACTTAATCAGCCACCCACTTAATCACTCATACAATCACTCTTCTATCACTACTATCATGGTTACTGTGCATGTTAAGTTTACTTATTGATTCGTCCATCCATGATGAGGACTCGGCCTACGAGACTCCTGCAATAATGTGTTCAACCACCATGCTGCAAGTTACAATAACAACAATAAAATAAACTGAAACTGAAACATTCACCAATAATTGGTGGTGATGTCACTACAGCGCTGGTGCCAAACTAGGTGCACTTTGAGGCCACGAAATGTCGAAGGCCTGCTGATAGGAGCTCACGAATCAAATATAAATATTTTGGATTAACTGTCTGAGATTACTGACAGATGCACCACCTGTGCCCCCACTGTGCCAGCTGTCTGCGTTTTAGCCACCCGCAGGTCCGCTCCTTATTGTGAGTGTTTCTCCTCCGCCCTCTGTTGTTGTTGGATGGTGACTGCCTCCAAAACCTTAGAATATCTATGCTCAATTCAGGAAACGTGTTTCACTGCTTGGTTTTGGGCCTTTGGGCCCCGTGCTGAGTAACTGTTTTACAAAACAAAACCATGTGGTCCACATGAATATAGCACATCCTACACACTGGCCTGGTCACCCTATCTTACCACTGCCCAGACTCGCCCTGCCGGCACTCATGTGGTGCACATACCGGTGCTGAACATTTCACGCGAAGACCTCCCGTTGCGCCCCGATGTGTGTCGCCTGCTCGGGAGCCTGGGTCTGTCTCCTGCAGCCCTCACCTTCCGCGACGAGGCCAGCCTGCACACCCTGCACGTTCGCCAGAAGCTCACCCTCACTCTCGTCGACCACAACCTCCTTCCACAGTGAGCAGTGATCCACACGGACTCTTCGCACCATCATAAACGTTCAATGGTTTTCCAAAAAAAAATGCATACGTTACCATCCGGCATTGTTGCTTAGTGGTAGAGTGTGCCGCTTGCAGTCGGAAGGCTGTGAGTTCAATAGCCCATCATTCTTTCAGGCTCGATTAAGAGAACTACTCTGTAGGGAAGTCAATAGTGGTTGTTCTAGGGCGAGACTCGCCTGCCATAGGAATGTGGCGTTTCCACCACTGGCTATTCTACTCTTATGTATGGCAATACGTGCAGGAGCTAAATGCCAATTTCTAAGTCTGCTAGCCATCAGAGGGCTTCAGGAGGGCTGTAAACAGGACATTAACATGTCCTCAATGTTCATTTGAGCAGGAAATCTTTTGAATAAGTCTTTAGTCAACTTGTGTGTATTGTTCCGAAATATGATGCTATGCTAATTTATAACTTTCATTCATTGTTGTAAATTTAAAGGTACTATCTGTATTCCATGTCTTTTATTATATTCTCGCTTTTCCATTTCAGCATATTATAATTAAATCGTTTTCTTTTGTGCACGTATTCTTGTTGTATGACTTGTGTGGGGCTTCTTAGATTGGGTTGTGTGAGGGTGTCATGTGTCTGGTCTGGTGTGTTGGCTGTGTGGTGTGCATGATGTGGTTTGTCGTCATCATGGTGTAGTTTATGGCTGATGCTGTGCGTGGTTGCTGTGGTGTTAAGCTGGTGGATTTGTAGGTCTGGTGCAGTGTGTAAATAGTGTTACATGTAGTCGGTACGGTGAATGGTCAGTGGAGTGAGTAGCTGGTGTGGTATATGATAGGTGAAGGGTGTCGTTGGTGCGGGGTGTGGTTGATGCGGTGTGTAATTGGTGCAATGTGTGTGGCTGATATGGTGTGTAAATAGTGTGGTGTGTGGTTACGGCAATGCACGATGGCATGCTGGATGATTGCTTTGCTGTGGTGTGTGGCCAGTATGGACACAGAGCTGGAACCTGCCGTGGTGGAGGTGATTGACCACCATCGTTTGGAGCGTCCGCCTTCACCAGGCTGCTGTGTTACGGTGGAGCCTGTAGGGTCCTGCGCCTCCCTAGTGGGGGCAGCCATGCTTCTTCAAGCCCCACACCTCCTTGACCTCACGTGTGCCACCATGCTGGCCGGTAGCTATCCAGCCCAGCACACACACCATGCACAACATCACCCCAAAGTCACTTGGCACTACGGCTCCACTTGTTCGACTCGGCAGCTTTGTATTGCTGCCAAGTTTGTGATGACAAATTATGATTTTTTTTGTAAAATTGTGTTAATTATGCAGTCCCAGAAGACTGGTGGAATGTGTAAAATATACTTTTATATTTTTATAAAAGTATATATTGGTTGTTTATTTATTTTGTCTAAAACTTCTGATGTTCTCTGACGTTTTCAAATGTGACACCGAATTATTCACATATCCAGATGTTTGTAGTTTGGCAAAGGTGACAAGATCTCCTCTCTGTCCATTGTGATATGATTGCCATTGTGGTGGAACTTGTTGGTGTGCTTTCTGAGCTGGTAATAGTAACTATTCACTCACATTTTGTTTATAAAGAATTGTGGTACCCCTTCAAGATCCATCTATTAATTTTCAAGAGTCCAGGGTAATTACAATTTAGTTAAATGTTGTAGAGTTAATGCAGTTCATTTGAACTATATCTGTCTCTTATTAAAATTAGCATGGACAACAATCTCTGAAGTGAATGTAAAATAGTGTACAATACATTCTCCAATATGCATTTTCTAATAAAAGTAATTTGCTAACCATGATGTTGTACAGTGGTGTACAAAAGTCAAGTCAAAGTAATGTTTTCTCAAATGAGAATTGAGGCAGTACCTATCTCTAATTGTAGAGCTAAGCCTCTCTTTAGCACAACCACCGTGATCTTCCCCAAAAAGTAGTACCTATTTTATCGACCCTGCAGGGATGATGGATGGAGTCAACTCCCCAATGAGGGTGTGAACTATCTTATGCTATTTTATATTTGTTGCACGCGGTTGCACTTTGTTTTTCTTGTGGTTGCACTTTATTTTGCTTAGTTGGTGTTAGCCGCTGGGTCGTGACAGGTCTTTTTCATTCTTGTTGCTGCATGCTCCTGTACTGTTCACGTTCTGTTGTAATGTGCACTGATGCTTACTTTATTGAGGGCGATATTGGCTCTTAAAATAAAGATTGATTGATTGAACTCCCAGCCTTCCGATCGCAAGCCGCCCGCTCTTCCGCTGAGGCGTCCGCTGTAGTGTGTTGTGTTACATTGCGCTTTGCTGTGGTTCTATGCGCTGCTGCTTTAGCTGCTATCGTGGTGGACTGCGTGGACATGAGGGTGGAGGCCGGGCGCGTGACCACGCGTGACCGGGAGGTGCTTGATGAGTTACGGCGCCGCTTCCCACTGCTGCCTCCAAGCCACGACACCTTCATCACACTCCACGCTGCCAAGTTTGACGTGTCTGGTACACCTCCCCTGCCTTCCCATACCCCCTGCAGAATTCTCCTAGCAAACTGCGTGAACACAGTCATGTTAGTACAGTACACCAAAACCTTGCCCATCGCAGGTAGTTAATTCTTGAAAAATAGCCACAATGAGTAGCTCTGCAATCTGCAAACTCAAAGCCATATGGGAAAAATAGGGTTTGCAATATGATTGCAAACATAAAAGAGTAAGTATTTTTTATGCAAAATATGATTTATATTTTCTACAGTGTTGAATATAACTTATACAGTCAATGTATAGAATGAAAAAGTAAATGTAAGAAAAATTTAGCAACTGAACCTGAGACTGCCTGACTGATGCTGGGAACATGGGACCCACAATGGGCTGCGTGGGAGACAAGATGGAGGAAAGATGTTGTGTGTATTATTTCGCGCAAGCATCATTGTGAGCAGTGCAGCTAGAGTACAGTACTTCTTTACGATGTGTAGAGGAATTTCACTCTCAACCACGAATGGTCGGGCATTGTGTACATGCAGGACTTACGGTGGAGCAGACTCTGCGTAAGGACATGAAGGTGTTGAAGAGTGGTGATATCAGTGTGGCTGTGTGTGCACTCTTCACTCCACTAGAGGTAAGGGAGCAGTGTTGGGTGCACTGCACACTATCTGTAAAGGTATAGGGCAGTGGTGAGTACAGTGATGTGCCCAAGATGTGGGCACATTCATATAGTTGATGAGCAGAGGCCCAAAGACCCAAAATATCAGAACGGAACAGCACTATCAAAGGTCAATCTTGATTTGAAGCTTTCGTGACTGCAGGAATCCAGCTGTATTATTTTTTCTGCCTGAGGACGACCGTTTGTGTTGCGATCGAAACGTCGTGATATATTATTTTTTATTTTATTTTATTTTTCTACCTACGTGACTTTACCGAAAGAACCAAAGAGTATACTATCAAAATTGTAATAGAGAAGAGTGTAACTTGTTTCTTGAATTGAGCAAGGCTATAGGAGCTTGGAGAATGAGATGATGATGGGAGGGAGTTCCACAGTCGAGCAGTGGGAGGGAAGAAGCATGACTGCTTACATTTTAGTAATAGGTTTTTACCATTTTTATCTGGCACCAAAATTGACACCTTTATACAAGGGATCATGTTTGCAATAACCACAACACAAGCAGTCAAAATGCAAACAAAAAGAGACAACTATGATAATGATATGCACTGTCCTTGAAATTGATTGGTCCACACCCGAGATGGCTTTTCTTAGAGCCTAGTCTCCACTGGTGTTGGACCAGATGACGCCAAAAGGCATACAACTCAAAAACAGCGCACTATCAGAGTATTGAGAGCGCGGGGTAAGCATTTACACTGAGACCTCCTTTGTCAGTAGCAAGATATAGTAATAGGTTTTTACCCTTTTATCTGGCACCAAAACTGGTAAAAGGGTAAAAACCTATTACTATATCTTGCTACTGGCACCAGATTTGGTGCCAGATTAAAGGGTAAAAACCTATTACTATACCTTGCTACTGGCAAAGGAGGTCTCATAGTGCTTCCATTTTTTTATTTTATGCAGAGTTTGCTTGTGTTGAGCCAGTGCTGCTGAATTGATGCATTCCCAGAAGGCTGTATGGCTGATTGGATGTACAAAAAAGTACTTAAATGTGTTATGATGAGGGACAGATATGTGAAAGAGGCATATTGTTTGCTTAGTTATGTTATCATTCTCTCTTGCCTTCACTTTTGGCCTCTAATTGTGCGGTTTTCACCACGAACATTCAAGTGCAGTTCAGGTTAAACAATCCACGTTGCTCTATTATTCAATGCGAACGAAAGTTGAGCCTCTTGTGGCATGCAGCACTGATGGGCTTTTAGATGTTTAAGCATTTCCTCTTATGGCAATAAATAAGAATTAATGAGAGCTCTGCTGAGTCGTGGGCGGCTTTCTGTGGCCAATCCCGGCGGGCAGTAGGGCCCCGGCGGCCCGTTCGCCAGGGCGTGCCCACAGCAGCAGCGGCGGCTGTGCGCCCGAGAGCGGCCATCACTCTTATTTAATTGTGAGAGGGTCCCCGTGTTGCGCCGGGGTTAGTTAAATTTTAATTCGGACCTCCAGTTGTAGTGCTGCTGCCACACGCTTAATTGGCCGAATTAGTGATGTGCAAATGAGAGTCTTATTTAAATGGCCCTGGCAGTGGTTATGCAAATGAATGTTTTGCAGAACCTCCTGCATATTCATGTGGTGCAGCATGCAAATTTAATGGCCCCACTGTAAAATGCTGGATTTAGCTGCGCACTATTGTGGCAGGGCATGAGCACAGGTATTCAGACACAAAAGGAGCTGTGAAGAATGGAGCCTTGGTTTAAGTGTTCTGTTTATTTTGTGCAGAAAATACTTTGCTGTCCCTGATGTTGTATATCTGTAGACTCCTGTGCCATCTGTGTAATGGATATCTGGCCGTCATGCTACATAGCATTTGTATAAGTGCCTCTGCTTAACCCCTATGTGATGTGTGTAACTAGGCTTCCTTAACCCCTGTGGATGCCTTAACCCCTGTACAACCATGGGCCACTTAGCTGTCTTGCTCTATGTGTATTAGAGCTGTGTTCTCCTGTGACTTTCAGTGTACAGCCACCAAGGGCTGGAAAGTGATTAATGTTTTGAGAATACGTGGCTTATTTAAGTGCTGCCCCGGAGACTCTACAGCTGTGTAGTTGTTTACATTTGTGGATTGAAAAAAAAAATCAGTGCCACAATGTAAAAAGTGAAGAGTGAAGGCAATTTTTATGTTGGTTTATATTTCTGTGCCAGTTTTGGCTATACAGTATCAAATCTTACCTTGCTATAATTAATAGCTTTATAGAATCCAATGCATCGCAGTCAGATTGATTGATGATCTGGCACTCGCTGACTTACACCATTTTCTCGCTCACTCACTCACCGGCGGTCAGTCGCCTCATTATTGCTCTTCTGTCGCTACTACCACGAATGTCAATCATTGATTCCTCCACCCATGTTGAGGACTCGGTCTATGAGACTGTTTCATCTCATACACACTGCGTTTAACCACCATAGTGCATGTCACAACACTGCTCACTCTAACACGGAGGCTTTTGTGACCAATTTGAGTCATCATAATTTGTTTTCACGTGAGTAAAATGCTAATGTGTGTTGTACACCCTCCCCCCACCGACACAGCCAAATCAAATGCATGCCATGAATAACTATGGCGATTTATTCCTGCTTCAGAGCACCGGTATGTTGGGGAGTAATACACACATTTAGCAATTGGGTAGTCTGACGTTTTGCTGTTCGTCAGGTGATCACCAGAATTGTGAAAACCTCCAGTCTTAGGCCTTAAATAGGTGGTGTGATGTCATAAACATGCCCCCACAGGGAAGCGGCGCATCACTTCCACTTCCATAGTTTCAGAAGCATTGGTTCTACACAAGCAAAATAGAGACCAGTTTCGACATTAAATTTATCATCAGTAGAGTAAGGCTTGCTTATATTTTTGTGGAGGTACAGATACGTGAAGGAAGTATATTGTCTGCTTATTGATTTTGATGCTTATTTATCCACATTGTTGCTCATTAATTTGTGTTAATCTTACAACCTTGCTGAATTTAAGAAATGTGTTAACTCTTACCTCTTGTAACTTTGATAGTGCTCAGTTTAACACTGTAAGCGTATTATTAAGCAACTAGCCTTTTGCCCGTCCAAGGACAGGTGTATTTCAGTAAATCTGAAACTTGCAAGTGAAAAGCAGACCGCAACGTGATATATCCATTACATAATTTCGTGTGCAATTTGTAAGGCCGCGGTGACACAGACCTATTTCATTTTAAGGTTATAATCCCTTGTTCGTCATGACGTCCTTTTTACTTCTATGTCTTCATAACGCTACGGAGATCACGTGACGTGAGGGTTCTGCCTTTGTAGTGAGGGTTTTAAGTTGACGCCGAGGAGGGCGGAGGAGGCGCCTCGCCCCCCCCCCATGTGGAGTCACGTCACCCGCTATTTTTTTATTAATGGGGGGGGGGGGGGTGTCCATTTGGAAGATGTCACCTCTTCATGATTATTAATGAGGGGGGCTGCTGGATGTGGAGTGACGTCACCTGCTCATGGTTATTAATGAGGTCGGGGGGGGGGTCCATGTGGAGGACGTCACCTGTTCATGTTTATTAATGAGGCGGCTGGCCGACGTGGAGTGATGTCACACGCGGGACACAGACATTCTTAGGTCATAGTAGTAAATACACAACACATTGCAATTCTTTACAGGTGAGCCACATGCTAAGTGGCTGATTACTGATCTATTACATAATTGCATACACCCCCACCTCCGCCTGTGATCTCGAAACGTGATGGGGTTCAACAATGATGACGTCATCTTGCACTATTTAAGACCGGAAGCAGGTGGATGGCTTCACTTTTCCGGCAAATCTCCCGAAGATACTGGATGTAATTTCCAGCGAAAAGTCGTACTCAAATTGTAAATGTTGTAGATCCACTCTTCAACATACTGGTGGGCTAAAGTAGTGGACGATTTATCTTTTGTCAACGTGACATTTTTTTACTGATTGGCCATGTCGGGTGGTGGAGGGTTGCGACACATTTATAAATAACGCCATCTAACCCAAAAACCTTTATTATAAATTTGATAGTGCTGTTTGCTGCTGGGCGCTTGAAGTTTGGGGGGGGGGGGGGCTTTGGGCCTGTGCTCAGCTACTATGGTTGTCACCTGTTTGGGTTTGATTGGGACAGTCACATAGGTAATGAAGGCCCTTTGTGCCAACCCGAATATCCACGTTTCACCGCAACTGTGTTCAGGTGGCAGAAATTGACTCTACCGAGATGTGGTTGTGGTATTATTGTCAGTTTAACACGTGCACAGTTCTGATACACCTTGGCTGACTGAGAAATATGTCTTGATTTTGGTCTGTGGAAAAGGTAGTGACCCTATAAAAAATCCAACGGGTCTTTCCACAACATGCCACATGCACGACCCTCCTGCCTGCCTTACATGCTGGCTGCATAGACACGGGCGCCCTCTCCTAGCTACAATGTGCACTGCAGCAGAGGTACATGACTGCCCATATGACTCTTGTCTCGCCAGATCACACAATCACCATTGGATATATCTCACGATTATGACACGGATTCGTTTAGTCATTGCATTCCGTTGTGGTGCAGTATTTCTACACTCAAGCCATCTTCAACACAGACAATTAACATCAGAAACCCTGATGCTTGACAACAAAATTAGAGGACTGCTTTAGCAGTTGTACCACAGGTACAATCAATATTTGAAAATCACCACGTTCCTTGTTAATACTGCCTTAACATGTACAAACATATGGAGACGATGTGGACCATATTCTTTCAGGGCCGAGATGGCATAAAGATTGGCTGGCTTAGAGTTATAGATCACACTTTACACTGATGCCAAAAGGCAGTGATTTCCTACTTAAATGAGCATTAAGGTGGTGCTCATCCCTGAGCCAGTGGTAGAAATTCCACATTCCTATGGTGTGGGTGAGTCTATCCTTAGGACAACCTCTGTTGATTTCTACATTAAGTGGTATCAATGTTATCGACCCCGGAAGGATGATGAGCCGAGGCCGAGTTAA